TTTCCCTAGATATCAACTATTGATCTCCAATACCGGATACTAGACTAGAAGAACTTTTGGCCTGAATCAAAAAGGCCTTTTTAAAATCAGATGTACTGATTTCAATGCCACATGATTATTTCATGCCTTAATATACTTCCAGTTTGTAGATGTATTTAAAAACAATAGCAAAATACTGTAAGCCACTATAAATTATATATTTGATATGTTTCCACCCAATATTTTAAGTACCTTACTATCTCCCATATTTAGATCAAATAAAAGCAAATCCACAATTTAGGGTGAAAAGTGGATAACGTGATAATTGGCTAACAGGGAGGCATACCTGCTGGAACACACAGGTGATTCTAATTCCTAATTTATTTGACTGTTGGTTATATCAGAGATATTCAAGACAAAATTAAGATATTTTTGGTAGCTCCACACCAAGTGTTGTCTGTACAGTCCTGAGCTGAATCCAGCCCCACTGTGAATGAGGAATTGAGTAGTTGCCTATTTTCTTTGCCTGTTGTGTTCCCTGAAGCAGGCAGCAGCTTTTGATGAGAAACCCTTAGACTCTCCTACCCATTTCACTGTGATTTCTTAGTGTCTGAATACAGCTTTCAATTGGTCTCTGCAACCACCTGAAAGAAGGTTTTAGCGAGGTGGGTCTCAGCCCCTTCTCCCAAGCAACAAGGGACAGAACAAGAGGAAATGGCCAAGTTGCAACAGGGGAGGTTTAGATTGGATGTTAGGGAAAAATGTCTTTACAGAAAGGGTTGTCAAGCATTGGAACAGGCTGGCCAGGAAAGTGGTTGAGTCACCATCCCTGGACCATCCCCGGAGGTATTTTAAAGATGTGTAGATATGGTGCTTACGGACTTGGGTTAGTGGTGGACTTCATAGTGCTAGGTTAATGGTTGGACTCAATGATCTTAAAGGTCTTTTCCAACCAAAACTTTTCTATGATTCCCTTCTTTTCCCCACTTCAATAAAGAAAGGTCAAACTTACTTGATGTGCAGTGAGGACCAAACAAATTATCTTCAGCACATTTTTCACAGGCTGTCCCACCAAATCCTTTCTGTGAATTACAGAATGGAAATCAAAACTCAAGTCTCTTATCTATCTCTATATAGGTAGAGATATGCTTAGCAACCTGAAAACGGCATCTCTAACTGCCAAAAGAAAATAACATGAAAGGTTCACTCAGCAAATCAGAGATGACTACTGCAATCTAGAAAACATTGTCTTTTGAATGACTTTTTTCCCGTCTTAAAAAAAAAATATATATTCTAGCTCTTACACTTCAAATCAGATGTTCTGAATATCAAAGTTAACAATAAAGCACAGTAATCAAGCCTAATGTCCAAATACTTATGTTGTATTTACTGACTGTCTCTTACTCTGTGTCTTTTTTTTTGCATGTCCCTAAAAGATGTGCTTTTGATGTAATGGAAAGATTAACCAGTAGAGGGGGAGGTAGAAAAAAATTCTAGCTGTTTTTTTAAAAAAAAATCTTTTTGGGTGAAGTTATAAAGCACTACACATTGCAGTCTCAGCAAAGGAGCATTATATTGAGTGTATAGCCCCAAGTATAAGTCCTTTCTAATTAGGGTAAAAACTTGTAAGTAACAGCATACTTTAAAAAGCAGAGGAACTCAAGCCACCTGTTTCAGGACAACAAGATAGAAGAGCTCTTGAATAGTTTAATCTGAACATGCTCAAGTCCGTAGAAGTAATAGTGTGAAGATCAGTGCAAACTGTGAAAAAAAAAAATGTACTCCAAGCAGATCACCTCTACTATTTCTGAAATGCTTTCCTTTAATGTATTTATACAATGTAATATGCATTATTTCTTAGCAGAGCTTACATGACATTTTTGTATTTTTCCATTTAAAGGAAAGGACATACCTGACAAGTGCATGTTCCATCTCCATTTATACCCTGGGAGCAGTGTCCTCTCCTGTTACAAGGTGCTGCAGCTCCTCCCGGACAGGCTAGAAATGCCAAGGTTTAAGCCATCAGTCAGCTTGCTCTGACCCTTATTCTCCCCTTGCATGTTAGGGCTGAGAGCCTCAGAGGCTGTAGATTTTGTGCCAGGCAAGGACCTTGAGTGATTGCTGCTATTTTGCAGCTCTCTGAATCTCTTCACTAGAATCTGCTTCAGCAGAGACCATCACCTTCTCTAGTCTGGGAATTTAAGCAGGTGACTGTAGTCAAAGGATTGCACAAAAAATAATTTTCTTATTCTAAAGTACCATATTGATTTTGTCCCTTGTGACCCACCTCTGTCTGCAGACATTCTCTACTGTTAGCTTTTTTATACAAGAGGAGTTTGCCCGACCACTTCTGTATGTTAATACAACTCTGATTGAAAATTGCTAAGTTAAGAGTCTAAATAAGCCTTTTTCTTTTCCTCACAAATTGCAGTTACTTAATGTGGAAAGTTTTTTCCTTTTCCCTGCTACTTTCTTTAAGACTGTGATATTTGATTGAAATGATCTTGGAAATTGAAATTTGGGGATCTCATAACCCACTTCTGTCCAATGTGCTATGATCACTAGGTAAACTTGTGTGCCAGAGATGTGCTATGCTCTTCAAATCCCCTGGTGCTAAAATCATGATTACAGGCAGGGGTATACCAGCTGAGACAGAGCCTGATCAAAAGCTTCAGGCCAGCAGGAGAGGATAAGAAACAATGACTGTATTTACAAATTAAAATAGTTTAATTTTTTTCTGAAATTTTTAGATATTCAAATTTTTACTGAAAGGTTGCCTATAGGAAATGCATATTACATTAATTTTTAGTCAGATTGTTATGTCAGGTTTTTCCCCCTCTGGAGATATTATTTTTTTATAGTTATGCAACCTCTCCATGGAAAAGATTTATTAACTCCCTTCCATAAGGTCTTCCTTCCCATAAGTGGAGTTCCCATTATGTACCATAATACTGATGCAGGTGGTATCTAAATGTGTCAAGCTCCTACTGCCCTCACAGGTTCTCTGCTGTACCTTACTGGTAGATTTATTGCTTATAAAGATTCTCATTTTGTTTTGTGTGGGTGGAGATGGGCAGCACTGGATTTATGCTCCCAATGGGTAACTTAATCCTGTTTTAGAGTGTTTAAGTGATGGGGAAGTTCTAATGAAAATTAATTTGATTTGGACAGAGTGATGAGCAAATAAGTGGATGTGTATATGTCTACACCTATTTTAGTGAAGGCTTTGGCTTTATACCAGTCTGATAGTATTTCTTAATTTATTCCTTAATGATGAGTCTGTGAGGTCTGTTGGATCTGAGTAAGATTCTTGTGAAAAAAAACAATAAAACAAAAAGATAAAATTTTAGTGCAGTTTATATCACACATGCTGAAATAAAAAGATTTATTAAGAATTGAGATGAAATAACCAGAAATGAGGTAAAGTAATGCATATACTTTAATCTTTAAAGTGGCTTTTAGTGAATCTTATTTTCTGGCTACCATATGATAGCTAAATCTCATCTTTAGGACTGACGCAGATGCAAACTGTTTAATGTTTGCTCTGAGTAGAAACAACTTTACCTGCACTAATGCTTTTATTGATTGTGTGGAGATAGAGAAATCATGAGAAAACTCAGTTTATGGTATAAATTTTAGGAAAGAATGCTTTAAAATTGCTGACAAAACAGGCTTTTGCAGTTGTATCTTCATTAAACTTCCCCTTATCTTCACTACCTCTTGTCTCTTGATTTGATACTACCATCAAGGGACAGCTTTATCGGAAGTTTAGCAAATTACCGTGCTGTTGTACACGTTTGGTCAGGCAGATAAAGCTCTTCCCCTGGCCAGCGGGGCCACAGGAGGCAGCGCGGGGATGCTGGAGAGACCCTGGCCCTGTCACCTGCCACCACCCCAGTGCCGGGGAGAAACGAGACCTTTGTGTTTATTGAGGATATTTTTTGAAAAGTAGTAAGAAAGAGATGTTTTTGTTTAGCTCTTACAGCTGTCAGAGAACAAAGGCCAAATCTTTATACCAAACCAAAAGAACTTAAATTGATCAGCTTTTTTGTCTCATACAGTTTAATTCAGCACTTCCCAAATGTTTTCCAATGCAGTCTGTTGGATTACTTCTTTTCCCCTCTCTCCCTGCATGCTAAAGCAGTGGGTAGAACTTGTAAAGAAGAAGTATTTTGGACATATATTTTCATAGACTTAGGTTTATTTTCTTTCCTCTTGTCTTTTTTCCCCCCCTTTTCACCTTTTTACTGTTACAGTGCTTTCTACTCAGTTGCCTCTACCAAACACCTTTCAGTTTGTACCCAGGCTTTTCTTCAGAGCCATGTGAATGTTTGTTCAGAGCTGGGGTAGGGAGTAGCTCCCACTGAAGCCCATCAGTTGATACATGTGGGACATCTGAGCTCCACCAGCTCTGGCATCTGTGGTTGGATGATACTGGCAGTGTTAAAAGGCTGTGCTCTTTTACACTGGATTTTTTTTTTCCTGTACTTTTCCCCTTTTCCTTGATGTCTTTTTACATAGGGATGGGCGTGCAGCTTGTTGGCTCAGGGAGCTTCGTGGGGAGGAAGGGGGACAAAATATCACACTGTGTTTCAGCATGTGCTATCATTTAAGGAAGTCGGAGTGCTACTTAAGACCTAATTTTGTCATTGCCTTCAGATGCTACACATGAAGCAAACCCCTAGTCAGTGATTTTTCTCTGGCCTCAGGAAGGACCGGCTTTCCTCCAAACATTTCAAGGCACGCAGTATGCTCTTAGAGTGATTGTGATAAGGCAAAGAGCTATTCTCTTCCTCCAAATGACAGCAGAAACAATGCTGAGACCTTGAATCTTTGCTTTTTGGGGCCAGGAAATTTGTTGGAAGGAAGAGAGGGCTTCCTCGCCTCTGCAGCCTACTGCCCACAGCAGTGCAGGCAGGGCTCTGGCTGACAGTCATTGAGCTCTGCCCCTCATAAAACCGATGCCCCTTGTGTGGCCTCCCAGAACACCATGAAGTTTGGGATGACAATCGTGTACAGCATTGCCTTCCTCCTCCTAGGCACTTAAGCTGCATTTGGTGGAAAAATGGTAAACCACCACCCAAGTCGTTACCTTCAGAAGAAGAGAGGACCACGCACTATTTATGCAGCTCTTCACCTGTCTTTTCTACAGCAGTAGCTGTAATTGTAGTTGGGATTTGACTATTTTACAGTAGTAGATAAATGACTGATATTTAAATCATAGCTTGGGCCATACTAAAATATATATATTTTTTTTCTATTTCATGGACAAAAGGACTTCACAGATGTTGAACCAGACCTTTACCCCATTATCTTAACTGTTAACTTAAACAAGGAAATGCTCTGCCTGGACAGGGAAACTTCCTCTGTGGGTCTTGATGCCCACCTCAGTAGCTTGAGGTTTGATGTAATTTAGGCTTTTTGTGAGGAAGGGGCAGCAGGAGGAAAGGCACTCCTGATTACCCCTGCTTCACTCATGGCCTTTAGCATTTGCTGGAGTCTCAAAACACTTGGAGGGAAAAACTGTTTCAAGTTGAACTGAAAGAAAAGACCCTCCTTGAAACCAAAGAGGAAAGAATGAAAGAGATTTGGAAATGTGTCAGTCAGATGAGGGTAAGTTTGATGTAAAATGAAACATTTAAACTTGCAGTTTGAAAATTTTAATTTTTAGTATCTGTTATGCGCATCACCTCAAATGAAAAGTAATTTTGCAAGCATTGGCTGAAATGATTTATTTTGAAAATCTCAAAACCAAGGTGGTTCACCGAATTATCTGAATTTTTCCATTATTTTTTGTTTTTGAATTAAGCTTTTAATATGCATTTTTCTCTAAATCCTCTAAGTTTTGACTGAAAACTGCTGTTTATTTCTGCTCCTATAATAAGCTCTGAGGAGCAATCTTCTCATGGCAATGTTTTCTGAAAAAAATAAAAATCACTGCTCTACTTCTGATCAAATTCTCTCTCTCTTTTTTTTTTTTTAAAAAAAAAAAAAAAAAAAAGCAAGCTTACCTATGCAGTCTGGGCCCCAATGTCCCTGGCAGCACTCAGGTTGTTCAAATTCCTTCATACAATGATGCCGACATCCCGGGAACGAAAGTGTGTGGGTTTTAATTTCTAGATAATACCTGAGGAAAAGAAGTTGGAGCTGCTTTAAAGTGCTTAAAAGCCTCCTGTGGGAAATGAAAAATGAAATTCTTAACCTCTTCTTCTCCTTCTGGTGTCAGGCAAGAGCACTTTAAGCTCAGTTGTATTGATCTGCCTTTTTTTCTTCATTAGAACATACATTGTACATCAAGGTCTAAAAAGGTCCTAGGAGCTGTTACTTTTGCATAGTGTATTTTTTTTTTCATTTCTGCATCCTAAGCACAGCAGCTTTCTCTAGGTTTTGATTTGAAATAGTATTTTAAAAATTACTTGCTATCTAGGTTTTTTAAATGCTAAGTAAGTTAAAAATAATTACATTTTCCATAAAATACTGCTTTTCTTTTTTTTTTTAAATCTGAAAGACAAGATTTCAAATTTGTTTTGAGTTATTTCTTCTTGCCCTTCAGCCTTGACACCCCCCAGTCTAGCAGTTTGAAAAATCTGTGATTTATATGATGATATATGAGATAAATAATATATAAATATTATTTATATGATAATATATATTTATCATATGATTTTATATATCATTCATATAAAGTATGCAGAATAAACAGGGAACTGATTTTATGATATCACGCAAAACAAAATCTGATAGGCCATTGATAGCAATGTTTATTTTCCTCTTATACCATTTGCTGATTAACTTTAGTCTTGAAGTACTTGAGCTTGAGTGAACTTGAGTTCTGGTGTCGGCGAAGCCAATGATAAGTGTTCCTTAAGAAAATTGCACGAAATAGAGCTTTCATAATATGAATTAAAATTGTTACCCTATTCACAGAGAAGGGGTCTGACAGAAGAGATACCTGCAGTCTGGTATCCCAGTCCCATTGGTAATTTTGGTGTAACCAGCAGGGCACTGGGTTTTGAGGTTTAAAGAGCAAGGCACGCATTCAGTTTTCATTCGAATGAGCAGCTTTTGATCACATTGATTCTTCATCTGTAACAGAAGATTTTAAAAATTACATTTAACTCAGCTTTGCTTTCACTCACTGCCACAAGCTCTATCCTGTTCAGCTGGAGTTCTCTGCTCTGGAGCTAAACTAGGTAACAGACCACATATTAGGGCTTTGCAGCAGTCTTGTCTGCACAAAATATGTCCAACCACTGCAGGATAAACTCCTCCAAGTGTCATATTTCTCCTAAAAATGCTTTCTCAACAAATGCTAATTTCAGCACACTTAAAAGCCAGGTTACCAAGACAGCATCAGCCTACCTTATAGAGTGTTAGTTCTGAAGTTGCCTTGCAAACCCAAAGCAGGATGGAGAAAGACAAGTGCCAGCAAGTGCCTTTTCCATTCAATGGCAAAACTAAACAGAAGGTGTGGGGGAAGTTGCTCATGGCTCTGTGCACACAGAGCACAGCACAAAGCCTTTGATCATATCAAAAGGCCGGGTTTTGTATTATCAGCACCACCGTACTGAACTAAAGGACTGTTATTTTCAAATTGGTGTAAAAGAATGATGTCTAGCTTTGTACTGAAATCTGGTAGAAGTTACAGGCCTGACCCCACTAGAGCACACTGAGGAGTGCAGCTTCCTCTTTTTTTTTTGACCTAGGGAAAGCCACAGAAGGCACCAGCTTAGCTTGGGAAACCTGGCTGTAGTCCTCTAGCTCACATGCCAAGGGCTCATACCCCTTGCTGTAGAGGTCCGAGTTTCAAGAATGAAAATCTGACAAATGACTTCAGAAAGTGGCAAAAAGAAGAAAAGGCTTACAGTATTGTCACAGTGGTAGCTCTGTATTTTGTGATTGTAGAAATAACAGATCTAAAAATATCTATATGCCAAAAATGGTGTCTGTTTCCTACTACTAAAACAGTAGATGTATTTTAAAGCAAAAAGTCCCTGCTGATCTCCATCTAATGTTGGCTTCATCTTCTTTCTTCCTGGTGAGTATTTGTAGAAGTAAGTTCATAATTCACAAATAGTGAGAAATGATCTAATGTAAAATGTGATCTTTAAAAAACAACAAAAAGTGAGAAATGAAATCATCATCCTTGGAGAGGAAGTACTGTGAAGTGCTCCGTTTTCTATTCCAAGATAACCATTTGTCCACTGTTCTCTAAGTATGGACCCATTTAGGTGTTTTTAAGCCAATCAAGCAATATTGACCACGGCAGGCTTCCTGTCTGGCACAGTAGAACTGAAGTGAACTATAAATGGGATTTTAATTAAGCAGTCGAGTAGTCAATTAAGGCAACATCTGAACCATTGCCAGGGCAACTTAAGGAAATGCTTAATGTTTGTCTTGAAAAACTGTACCTGCCCACTGTGTGCGTGTGTATGCATACATGCATTATGTAGGTACCAGTTCTAGCAGCATCATCCATTTGAAAATATTTAAATATGTTAATAGTTGTCTGTGGATATTTAAAGTAGTTTCCCAGGTTATAAAGCAAGAAGGACAATTATACCAGAACAGCATAATACAAGATAATGGAGGTTCTTGCATGAAATTTAGTTTGAACAAGATGATCTTTTAGAAAGCATTAATTTGATTTGGAAATGGTCATTTGTGGAGAAACAAACCATGGTATGTTGCTTCTGACATAATTTGTCTATGATGGTTTTGCTTCAGTCTCCAGTCTTTGCTCTTCTGTAATTTGCATGACAGGTAGGAAACTATTCTGCTAAGGAGTTTACTACTCCCTTCCTATGAATACTTGCAGCCTGAGATTAAAGTAAATTTTATTTGTGCACCTAAAGAAATAGCATTTCTTTAATTCCCTGCTATGACTCTGGTTTCCTAGTTCTTGAGTCATTCCCCAGCTCTCCTCCAGAGGAGCCTACTCAGTGTGGCAATAGCCCTCCTGGATGGGGAGTGTCAGACTCAGCCTGTCTGGGCAATTCCTGTGCACATGAATGGGACTTGTGCAAGGTCTTCTTTGTCCCCCACCTCAGCAAATTGATCATTAACTGTTTGTGCAGCAGTGTCACAGCAGGAGCTTCAGGTAATTTGTTATCCAGGGTCTATTCCAAGCCATCACTTCCAAGGATGGAGCCCATTGCAGAGCTGTCATGTGTTGCTCAATGGGTACCCTCCAGTATTTCTGTCCAGGGATTCCCAAACAACATATGTGCACATGCAACCCTGTGCTGTCCAGGTAGCACCAGACCTTATGGGCATGTGTGGGCTGCTGCAACCTCATTGCAGAAGCTCACAGTTGGCCTAGGTGGGTACACTGGCACCTTGGGCAAAATTTCTACATATGTCACAGCCTGATAATCCTGGATGAAGCCTTCACCCCAGCGCTTTCTTCCCTTGTTAGTTATTCTTCCTTCAATGTTTGTGAGAGCAGCACACTTTGGTAGTGAAGACTGTGAGGATGTATCACAAACACTGATAAAGAGATTAAGTTGCATGAGCTCTGAGGGACTCCACTTGGTGGTCATGATCCAGTTTATAAGTATATTTCAACACCTATTTAGTCTTCAAATTTTAGTCTTTACAAATGAACTGTTGAAACCTGATTTAGGCAATGTTCAGATATGGTAATTACATTTGAGTTGTGAAACTTCTACCGTTGGGTAGATGCATTTCAGGCATCTTTGAAATAAAAATGAGATCTTTTTCCAGATGTGGGTATAATGTGGATACAGCTCAATCAGACACTTGTCAAAGTAGTGGCAAGCAAGTAGCAGACTGAGCAGCCTCCCTGCTCTCTTGGCAGAGCCTGGCGCTGGTGGGGCGCTGGACTGACCTGGCACTTTGGGCTTCTAGTCTAAGGTGGCTCCCACAACTCAAACCAGAGCGTGTCTGCACCTTGCTTCCCATCCAAAAACCACCTTACGAGGCAGCAACTTGAGAGAGCTTGAATGCTTCAAGCCTTTCAAAACCCTGGTGCTCAGCACCGGTGCAGCCACCTTAGTGACCCTCCTTAATGAGAGATGACTCACACACCAGAGAAAGAAACAACACAGGAAAAACAGGCAGTCGGGCACCTTAATGGCTGTATTTCCACTGAGTCAAATCAGTATTGTTAGTGTTAAAGAATCATAAACTTGTAACAAGAAAATTCAAAGAGATTTTGAAAAGATAAAATCCAAACAAAAATAGGTTATTTTTTTTTTCCCTACCACCAGCTATAAAACCTATTTTTTCTAAAAATGGTGGAGTTATTTCCACTTTATCCCATTTCCTCATTTTCATTTTTTGCTGTTATGAAAAATGGAAGAAAGGTGATTTGTTAGTAGCAATTTTTTTAGAGACAGAATAAGATAACACCTTTCCCGGTACTTGTTTGTACTTTTCAAAGTGTTTTTCCATTTAAAACAGAACTAAAATGAGTGGCTTCCCTCTTCCCCCCCCCAGCTCTACAATTTCTCCCCATCCTTTAGTTTCCTCTTCCACAAGTGGTTTTTCTGCAGATCGCAGTGATTTAAAGCCTCACGTTATGAGACAGTTTAGATGAATGCATATCTCTGTTGAACTCCTGGTTCAGATTTGTAACCCAACACTTTCTGCCTCTCTACAAGGGTGGTAAAAACAGATTTGGTGAAATTCCACAGATGCATAGGATTTGTACATAACAAATGCACCCCCAAATGCTTCCCCAAAAGTCTACAAATCTTTTACTTAAGTTTATAATTTTGTACCATTGCTTCCAATAGCCTAGTTCTTTACAATTTTTTTCCCCACCTGTCTGAAATAGCTTTTCGTCCTTGTGGTTAGTAATGGATAATTTTAACTATTGAAAAATTTCTGCTTTCATATTCTGAATTATCAGAAATTCTAATGATTTTCTTTTGTTGCTTTTGATGATTAAGTCAGCTAGAATGTTTTGCCATGTTTGCAATTTCTTAGAGACATTTTCAGTGTACTCATGAAACATCATTTGAGCCAAATTCTCATATGGAATAAACAGAAGCATTTCTGTTACTTCAGAGGACTGAATTACACAGCTCTTGGTTTATAATTCAGTGTCATATAGCATCAGTGACTGTTAAAGTGGGTTTTTCTTCTATTAGATATGGTATCTGATACCGAGCCTCTCTATAACAGTGAAACAGCCCCCGTCCCATAGTGTAATACAGACACATAATAATTAATTACATGAATAAAAAACTGCTTCTTACCTCGTCTGGGACTTGCGATGTCAAACATGGCTTTGCTGCTGCCAAAAAAGCCAAAAAGAATAAAACAACTGGATTTTTTTCCATTTACTTTTTTTCCTTCAGAGCTCTCCAGACAGAGCAACTAAAACTCTGACGTAAAAGGATTGTTTGTTAGAGAAGCTACTTCTTCTGCATTCTTAGGTAAATAGTTTTAAAGGACTCTGGTCTTCCTGAAGGACAATGAGTGAATGATACAGCATGTGAAGCTTGCCTGCAGGCAGGAAAAATTCCAAAATGAGGGTCTTTGCTGAAAGTTTTCACTGCAAAGCTGAATAAACCCTTCCTAACTGAATGACAGGATATCCTGACAGGGCTCTGTTCATTTATCCCTCTCTCTGAAGCTGATGACAGTGCAAAACCAAGGACACTGAACTGTTATGACAGAAGATGTTTTCTTCTTTTAGGTGGGCATGAACAGGGGATGGGAGCAACTGCTGCACTTTTCATTACATTTGTTCAACTGACCTAAGGCTGAGCACGGGGGCTCTGGAAGGTGGCCTGTCAGCCCTAATAACGTAAGGGTGGGTTCTCCAAATGTGGTTCTGGAAGAAATACTACCGACTTTCTCTCAGGAGGACAAAAAAACACCTTACAGCTTTGGCTAGATGGATAAAAAGGGGGATTTTTTCGTTGAATCATTTTGACTGACTTCCTGCAGCTATGCAGAAGAAAATTAACTCAGCTATGTTACTTGCATACGATTAGGAGGGATGAGTAGACAGACATTCTGATTTGCCAAAAGCAAAACTCTTTCTCTTTCTTCTCAAAGTTGTTCAGCTCTTCTCTAGTACTGCTCTTTGCTGCTGCTCTGGTCAGTCTTGTAAGGGCAGCCTCTTGCATGTCTTAAATACCTAATAGTTTGGCTCCCTCCAGTTTGCCAGCTTTGCTTTGTGCCCCTGACATTATCATTTTTGAAAGCAGTCCATAAGGGTGCCTTAATACAAAGTTGTGCTTTGAAGCTAGGTTAAGTTTTTGAAGAGTCCACAGGGATTGTAAACATAGTGCTTTCTCCCAGATTCCTATTTGTAATCATGGCTAGATGCTGCATTCCCCTTTAGACCACAAATGTAACATTGTAAGCGAGTATCTTGAACTCTGTATTTTTTTCCTAAAGAGCTCAGGGGTGATACGCATATAATACACAAACTCATCTACTTTTTTAATATGCTCTAACTGAATACTGCAGAATTCCCGGTAGGAGTTGGCAGGGCAAGATGTTTCCTGTGCACTCATCAGATCCTGTTCCTTTCTGCTATATGATGAGGAAAGTAAATACTTTCTTGTTTATGCAGACAAGATAGCAGCCAGGGTTTGCAATGTACATGCTGATGGTACGTATGGCCTTGAGAAGTGCCGTTTCTCTTTTCTGAGGTCAAGGACTTTCATGTTACTTTGGTTTTGCATACAATATAGAGCCTGGTCCAACGGAAGGTTTTTCTCCGGAAGAGCAGAATCCTGGGGTATCTTCTCTCCTATATGATGATAGCCCATAGCTGCACCCCGGTTTTGCATACAATATAGAGCCTGGTCCAACAGAAGGTTTTTCTCCAGAAGAGCAGAATCCTGGGGTATCTTCTCTTCTATATGATGATAGCCCATAGCTGCACCCTACCCTCTGTGGGATGTTTGGGACTAAAACTTATCATCCCTCCTCTGCAGCTGTGCCTTGTTGGAGCATAGGCAGGGTGGATGTCCGGGCAGGGTCTGCGCTACCTGGGCAAAACACGTTTGCCTGGTCCCTGTGTGTGTGACAGCAGGAGCTGACAGCTTCTGCAGCACCTTGAGGTCAGCTGGGTTTCTTGCCTGTTGCCACTTCAGACAACGCAGTGATGAAAGGAGCTGTAAATCAAGCATGTCCCTTTCCTGTCCTGTAGATTGAGATAAAAAGCAACACACATCAGCTCTCTTGTTATCTGCTCTTATCTCCCATATAGGCATTTGTGTAAAGTAAACCCTTTTTCTCTTTCCTTCCTCTCCCTTCGTGTTGGAGCGCGGCCTCCCCACTGACTGCTGTGATGACTGCTTTCTCAGCTCCAGAGGGACTGGCCGCCCTTTCCTTGTGTTAGTGATGTGGATTTTCCTTGTTTGCCAGGGAATTAAATACAGACTGTGCCAGGCTCTAACTATAACTCTGCCTGGCCATTTCCTGCCCCACTCTGGGCAGAAACACAGGCCAATACGTCACCTGGCACACAGGACGGGGCTCCCTGGGGACTCAGGGGGTGTGCAAGGTGGTACCCCAGCGCTCAAAACAGGCTGTGCAGTGAGGCAGCATACCTGGGTCTCCAGCCAGGGAGGTGGGATGCTGCCCTGCTCTGGAGGAGGCTGCCTTGGAGGCCTGGCCAGCTCCTGGCGCACTGGGCAGCCACTGACTCCAGTGCCATTGTCTGTGTTGGTGTTGGGTGCTGGCATGCTGCTGGCACAGGTAGGAAGGCCTGTCTGCCAGGTTTCTCCCTTTGCTTTTAGAAACGTGATGGTGGTGGTCTCTGCAGGCTGGGACCTGCATCCTTCCTCCCCTTCCCCTGCCAGAGTGCTGAGGGGTCCGCGCACCTCTGGGATCCCCAGTGAGGATCTCGCCTGTCAATGTGCTACCCTGTGCATTGACGTGTCTGTGCTGACTTTTGTCTTGGCTGTTTGATGTGTTTGTATCCTGTCCTGGCCAGCCAGCCTGTATATTTCTGGTGCAACGCTCCTCCAGGGTCGTGGAGTTATCACATTCTTATTATCTTGCTTCTTATGCAGCTCAGCTGAGACCTTCGTGCTCTTGCATTTCCTACTCTTTTTCCTGGCTTTAGCAGGATATTTTATTTTAGCTTTATGCTGTGCCTCTTTCTGTGTCCAGCTGGAGTGGTCGTCTTGGGTCTCTTTGTTTCTACAAGAAGGTGAAACTTTTGGAAGCTTTAGATGACAAATATCAAAATACAAATATG